AATAGAATTACAACCATCAAGGTGAAATGAGTTTAAAACCTACCCAAAAAAGGAAGATAGGCCTTAAAAGTTTGATTTGGCAAATGAAAACATTTTAACCCTATTTTTAAGATCTGATACAACAATTCTGTTGACCTGCTGTTTCTTACCCTGTGGTGAGATCTAACTGGTCATGGGTGGAATCTGTCTTATGTACTGTTGCACCCCCAAACCTAAGAGAGCTAGAACATCTAGGGACCATGTGAGACTGTAGAGAAAAACAGGTATCTTTCACAAAACCAGTTGGTCCCAAGTGAAAGTTCAAATAACCAGAGTGGGACTATGGTTTTAGACACTGATTGATTCCTCATCCACCTGCTTTGGTACTTATTGGTACAGAAATTCCCTTAAGAATTAAAATCTTGATGAGAAATACAACTTTCCTCTAGTTCCTAAATGTTTCCTCCCTCCTCCCACTACCATGACTAGAATTCGACCTTGCAAGTCTGGCTAGACCAGAGGATGTACACTGGTATAGATAGGAACTGAAAATACAGGGAATCCAGGGCGGATGAGCCCTACAGGACCAGTGGTGTGAGTGGCGAAACAGGGAGGGTAAAGGGAGAATGGGTAGGAAAGAGGGAACCGATTACAAGGAACTATATGTGACTTCCTCCCTGGGGGACAGACAACCGAAAAGTGGGTGAAGGGAGACGTCGGACAGGGCAAGATATGACAAAATACCAATTTATAAACTATCAAGGGCTCATGAGGGAGGGGGGAGCGGGGAGGGAGGGGAAAAATGAGGACCTAATGTCGGGGGTTTAAGTGGAGAGAAAAGGTTTTGAGAATGATGTACAAATGCACTTTACACAATTGATGTGTGTATGGATTGCGATAACAGTTGTATGAGCCCCTAATAAAATGTTTTTTTAAAAAATACAAGAAAATGCAAATATTCCTTAAATGAAAACATGCCTAACCCTGCTCATAATAAAGATAAATGCAAACTATAAAAAGAAAAAAGAATGAAAATCATCATGTAGTAAATGATTCTCCCTGAGACCTGACCTCTACAACAACTTAATAAATAAATCACTTCTGGAATACTACAATTTACGGTTTGGTTCTTTTGTTAAAATGCCAAAGTAACTGAGGATATTCTTAAGGGAAACAGTTGAATAACATTAACAAAAAGACCTGAAGCCAATTCAGACCTTAGAAGTGTTTTAGTAACTTTCAAGAGAACCTCCCCTACCCCATTCATATGATTCTGTCTTACAGAAAAACTTTTGAAACAAATATTTTCTTTTAGAGAAAGAACCATATACCAAGAATCATAGCCCTCCAACCATAGTAAGGTCTTAACTCGCATTTTGATATGAAAAATTATCTTTGTTTTCATTTTTATTGAGAAGCTTACAAAATCTTGTGGGTTTCAGCTGAATGTAGGCACAGAACCCAGGGGTCACTTAGGGCTTAGATGAGGCTCATGTGTGGCTCTGGTTTTGATTACCAGCAGCTTGCTTACGTTGGTTTGGTTTTGATCTGACTCCTGCTCTTTTGGTCCAGTTTTCCACTAGAGCAGCCAATCTTATATTCCGGTATAAGCTTGTCGGAATAATTCAAGCAAAAGGACTTTATTTTAAAGACCTGCCTTGTAAATGCGTATGGATTTCCATCGATGAGAGCAGAATAGTTGACTTACATTAACAAGACCCAGTCAAGGGAAAGGATCCCCAGGTGGAATCCAGGGATCCACAAGGGCCCTACCCTGAGCACCAAGTACTTGCTTGCTGGGGCAACTTTTCAAGATCCACCCAGGGCTTTTCTATCCAATTTTGTTGGAGCAAAGCCTAGGAATTAAATGTTATACAACCTCACAAAATTCCTATGAAGGATGTGATAAATAGGGCTCCTCTTTTGGGGGAGGGGATCCTCTTTTAAAATGTTGTTGATGTTAGGCGATATTAGGTCAAGTCAGTTCTGACTCAGTGATCCTCTGTACAACAGAACAAAACACTTACCTGGTCCTATACCATCCTCACAGTCAGCAGTTCTCAACCTGTGCGTTGCGACCCCTCTGGGGGTCAAATGACCGTTTCATAGGGGCCGCCCGATTCTTAACAGTAGCAAAATGACAGTTATGAAGTAGCAACAATAATTATGTTATGGTTGGGGGTTACCACCACATGAGGAACTGTATGAAAGGGTCGCGGCATTAGGAAGGTTGAGAACCACTGCTCACAGTTATCATGTTTCAGTCCATTGCCTTGATAGTCTTCCTCTTTCCACTGTCCTTCTGTTTTACTAGTCATGATGTCCTTTTCCAGAGACTGGTCCCTGCCCAGAGTGCTTGAAGTCAAGTCTTGCCCTTCTCACATCTAAGAAGCATTCCGGCTCTATTTCTTCCAAGATAGACTTGCTTGTTCCTGTGGCCGTTCTAGTATGTTTAGTATTCTTTGCCAACACCACAGTTCAAATGTATCAGTTCTTCTTTGATCTTCTTCATTCATTGTCCAGCTTTCACATGCATATGAGGTAGTTGAAATTAACATAGTTTGAGTCAGGTGGACCTTAATTCTTAAAGTGACATATTTGCTCTTTAAGACCTTAAGGAGGTCTTGTGCAGCAGATTTACCCAATCCATCATTTGATCTCTTGACTGCTGCATCCATGAGCATTGACTGTGGATCCAAGCAAAACGAAACCCTTGACCTTCAAACTTCTCTCCGTTTATGATGACGTTGTTTTAGTCCAATGGCGGGGATTTCTCTTCTTTAGAGTGAGCTGCAATCCCTTCTAAAGGTTGCAGTCCTTGATCTTTATCGGCATTGCTTCAAGTCCTCCTTGCTTGCAGTAAGCAAGCTTGTGTCATGTGCGTGTCACAGGTTGTTAATAAACATCCCCCGATTCTGATGCTCTATTCTTCTTCATCTAGTCCAGCTACTCAGATTCTCTGTTCAGCAAACACATGGAATACGTTTGGTGAAAAGTTACACCTCTGACACACACCGTTCCTGATATGAAACCATGCGGTGTTTCCTTGCCTCTCGTTCCACGTACAGGCTCTGCGTATGCACAAGGAAGGGTTCTGGAATTCCATTCTTCCCAATGTTATCCATAGTTTATAATGATCCACACAGCTGAACGCCTTGCACAGGTAATAAAATGCAAAGACATTTCTTTCTGGTATTCTTTGCTTTTCAGTCAAGATCCACCTGACTTCAGCAGTGATAGCCCTTGTGTCACACCCACTTTTGAATCCAGCTTGAATTTCTGGCAGCTTGCTGTCAATGTGCTGCTGTGATTATTGTTGGATGATTTTCAGCAAAATTTTGCTTGCATGTGATATTGATGATAGTACTCAATAATTTCCTCATTCTGTTGGGTCACCTTTCTTTGGAGTAGGTTCAAAGGGGGCTCTCTTCCAGGAGGTTGGCCAGGTAACTGTCTTGCAAATTGATTGGCACAAACAAGTGAGTGCTTCCAGTGCTGTATTAACTTTTGGAATCTTGGTTTTTAGCTAATGCCTTCCGTGTAGCTTGGACTTCTTTATTCAGTATCATTGGTTCTTTTTTTT